TTTTTTAAGCAAAATACTAAGATACAAGCACCTAGTACTAGTACCCCTGGTATTTCTTAGAAATATATTTTTGTATGTATGAGAACATACTAATATTTCAAAAGTAAAAAAATGACAGATACCTACATAGCAGGACATAGAGATTCATGAAACTGCCATTTAAAATAACTCAAAAGGAGGCCTAGTAGGTTAACGTCCTACCTGGAAACTCTAGACCAAGCCCACAAAAATTTTTAATATTACAGCTGAGAATGAGGATTTGTGAATAAACTTCAGCAACATCCTTCACTGAGAAACTGAGGCTAGCTCTTCTGTTGATTAGAAGTGCCAACACCACAGGAGACTTCTCCAGGCACTGTCATTCAAAGGAAGAAACCAAGCAAACAGGCACATATATCTTTTTCTTCTCCATATTATGATGTTTCTGAAATGTGTTTCACTGCCCAGACAGGAAATTTTATGAAAGTCTCATGTCATCCTTGCACTGATCTATTCCAAGAGGCCCCTAAAAGTCAGTGCTCAAAATATCCATCTTGGCTGATTTTACTGGCTAAACAAGGTAGAAAAAGAAAAGCACTTTATTAAACAATTCACCAAGGCTCTGTTCTAGCACCTCTACTAATTCTAGGACTAGGACTTTGGATGGATAGTCACGTACCCTCTTGTAACCCAGACTCCTCATCTATAAAAACAGGCCTGCCTGGAGGGCCTGTCTGTGAGGCTATTAATTAGAACCCCCAGATAACATTTACCGAGGCTACCGTCACAGCTGGTGTTCATGGGAATCAATAAGAAACTAAACAGAACTTAAAAGTGAATCACACAAAGAATATTAAACTCTATATCACTGTATTAGTAGTCAACATATCTTGAGACATTTTAAATTGTTAAAAATTAGGAATCAATAATAATTTGTATTCCATGAACCAAAATAATAGATAAACAGGGCCGGGGAGATGGCTCAGTGGAATAAGCGCTTCCCTGGCAAGCGCAAGGGCCTGAGTTCAATCCCCGGTTCCACCAAAAAAAAAAAAAAAATAGATAACAAAAACCTATTTCCTACATCAGAACTCAAAAAGATGAATCATTGGAAATACAAAGAAAAATAACCTAAACTATTCTAGAAGAGACTGGCCATCAAAAATGACTTGAAGGTAGGGTTAAGAGCCTTTCTTAATTTTTTAAGATGATAGGTTTTTCTCTTCTTTATATCATGGTAGCCATTTGCAACAGAAAGTGATTTTGTCCTGAAGAATGACCTGAAAATACCTGGACATGTTTTTGGTTGACACACTTAAAATACAATGCTATTGGTACCCAGTGAATAAAGGAGAGTGATGCTGTGTGACATTCCTCCGCCCAGAGCAGACCACAACAGAATTATTGAGCTCACAAGGTCCATGACGCCAAGGTTGGGAGACCTTGCTTTATGCAATGAGCTGACCCCGATGTCCACAGTTACACTAAGGTTATTTCTGTCTTTCCCAAATGTGTGTGTCAGGCCTGAGTTGGCCATCCCCACACATGTACTGCAGAGATGGGCTCCACACAGGTTCTCTCATGTTAGCTCTGCCTAAACAATCAGCTCCTGTTTCCCAAATCTCAAGTAACTTTCCCAAGTAAGAAAAATGTCTTAGCATTTTCTCAATTTCTACCCTGGTGCCATCTGATAATCATAAACAGCCACTAAATTTATTGAGCTTATGTGATCCAGGCATTAGGCCAAGTGTTTTAGCTGCAGTTCTACAAGATGAGCACTACAATAACTGCCTTTCTTTCTTTTTTAGAAAACTGAGACTTTCAGCAATTAAATAATTGGCCAAAGTTTAAAATAGCCGTGTCAAGATCTAAACCAGATCTAGACCTCATGCTTCATGATTTTAACTATCTCTACCACCTGCAGGAGACAGAGAACAGGGTAAATAGGTTTGAGGGGTACTATTTGCAAACACGTGCTTTGGGGGGAAAATTCCAGATACTCTGCTATGAGAATTTTCATGAAATTCATATAAAATTAGCTGAGAGTTTAAGATAGGGATGCATAAACTAAGTATTATATTATGTTTCAAGGGACACATTTTAACCTATGATAAATGGTTCATTACTAAAGATGGCACTGTGGCTCACTTGGAGAGAGACTAATCTCAGTGAGCCCTCTGAAGATACCTACATTCATCAGGTCTTCTCTTCGTTTCTTTCGGCACCGACCCGTACCATACAACATTTTACAAGTCCATTGGAACCCCCAGACCCAGTCGTAGCCCTGGTCCGCAGCAGGAAGGAGCTGAGCACAGCAGCCAGACCCAAGCCAGACGCAGCTGGATAAGTCCAAACTCTGTAGA